TGACTTGACGCAACGGATAAGCTTCTGGTACCAGGACAAATCCTTGGGAACCGGTAACCAAGCTACTAGCACAGCCGTGTCATTGCATCTCCGTAATGGCGTTATGCCTAGACCCGGTTATGTCAGGAAATCCAGTTTTCATGCCCAACTGTTCTGTACGCCGGTAGTCGGAAGTGTCTGATTGAAAGTACATATAAGGCTTCAAGGATTCCCCGCAGAGCCTATTGATTCAAATTTTAGGTGGGGTAATATTTGCTTAGCACGTCGCATTGATGAAGAATTGAAAATAGAGGAACTTTGAGTGATGGATAACAAAGCACTTATTGGTGTAGGTGAGAAGAGTAGAAGGTGCCCCAGGAGATGTTCCAGTACGAAAATTAGTCACTGACGGAAAAAAATTCAACGCCTGGAAGGATGTAATCTTTTATTGATTTTCTGTTCTCATCATATCTAAATGATGGAAAAATTTCTACTATGTGGTGAAACGCTTTTGCATGTGCATACACGTTGTGTATTGATTTGTCTGCAAACCTTGCAATTCGAAACTCACGGCGTATTCGTAAATAATTACAGACTGAACAAAATTTTATTGACTATGGAAATAGGCATCAAGCAAGCAATCAACCAAACAAAATAAAATTGATAACATCAGTATCAGCAATGCCAGCGTTCTTGAACTTATATAAACTTTTCTACCACATATTACGAATGGAATGATCCTCTGATTCAGGCGTATCAGAAAAAGTAATTAAAGGCGAATAGTGATGAAGTCCAGGTTTCAAAGCTTTCCCGACAGTGACAAGTTTCGTACTACAACGTCTTGACAGGCACCTCCCGCCCATCTTTCCTCTCCCAATAAGCGTTCCGTTATCCACCGCCGAAGCCTCTCTGTTCTCAACTCTCCGTCAATGCGATTTGCGAAGCGAACATCCACCCCAAAACTTGAATCAGTACTGCACACCCTTTCGGCGTCATCACCGTCCCAGGCCCTATCGTTCCAGATGCCGGGCACGCGATAGTTCTGATCACTCTATGGGGTCCGCGATGCCAAACTAGTCCGTCTATCCGTAGTTTCTCGAGCTTCTTGAGGGTGGTGAGACTCATGAACTATGTAAGTTCTGCCCGACTGTTGATACAAATATTGTGTAATGTCAATCCGCGTAGATTCAGTCTGTAATATCATTAGGGTTAAAATATCATCAGAAAACGACGGGAGAACTCACAGCACCAGCTCGTCCGATGGTCGGATTAGTTCGATATTTGGCGAACATTGATAGTCACTGGGGAATATATCGTGATAAAAGACATTACATATTCTGCCAATTATGCACAAAAACTAAATACCAGGCTTTTTCTGGACGGAGAACCAAAAGAGAAAATTGGAGGAGCGGCGAATCGAACGCCGGACCGCCTCTATGCTAAAGAGGAATTATACCACTAAACCACACCCCCAGTTATAATTACAATTCATGTAAAGCTATTATAAATGCATTAAATGCTATACATCAGTAAAACATGACGATCTTGAATAACACCAGGCGAATCGAAGTTCCAATGTGGATTCTGGTTTCAAGCTTGATTGTGTCTTATGAGATAACCATAGAAATATAAAGCGGGTGGCCAATTGACATTAAAAAATCGTTTTGGTGGTGAAATTGGGGTGTTAGAAGCGTGATAGAGGGCTTTCATCCTTGGGTGCAAAAATGTGTTCAAGTATACCGATTGGTTAGCGTTACATTACAGTATTTCATAATCTGTCTGCATAGTAAGTCGACTAGTAGATGCCCTTGAATTACGACTTTGGTCTCCTCTATGATTTTCAAATCTCTCAGTTCATACCAACGGAAAATATTCATTAGTTAATGGCAGGCGTCTTCAGTCTCTGTCAGGGAATAGTACCAACGACAACCAGCGAAATTGGTTGCCCTTTCATACAGGACTCTGTTTCCCTCCTGGGTTGCTATTGGTTCGCACATGCTTTGAGGCGCTGCTAGAAGGCTAGGAAGTTATTTTCTGTTCTGCTGAATGTCGGCAATTAGTATTTCAACAGGTAATATTCGAACCTATAGTGACCGAGCATCAGATATGCGAATCCCATGAATGATATTCGATCGCATCTACACATCCTTTTTGAATATGTGACATTGGAGGACTTCCCGTCGCTCTATGAGGGGTGGATAGAACAACCTCAACTTCACCTATTCGATAGCAATAGAAAATCAGAATAGACAGGGGGGTAGGGACCCCCCTGTCTATCCTAGTGCTCTATTCGCTTTCTATAGAAAAAGTATTTTTGTGGTGAAATGGACTCTCACGTCCGTTGCTATAGAGCGACGGGATGTCCTCCATTAGTATGCCGTATAAACACTGGTATGGGTTTGATTATGTATTGGAAAGACTGCAAGCGGTAAATCGTCTGTTGCACTGAATATCAGCAGTCGATAATTCTATAGGTAGATATGAGATGTATTTAACCTTTTTGCACATGCCATACTCTCATAGGTTTTCTCAAATGTGTGAGCATACTATATGCTTCTCCAAATCATGATGGTAATTGAATGACTATTATGTAGAACGTCAGTGGAGTGTGATTCAACAAGGTATTTTACCAAGCCCTTGTAATCAGTTCACACCTATCAAAATTATGAATTGTTTTATCAGCCTATAAATGTATGGTATAATAATCCCGATTTGTCATTAAGACGCTTCCGTTTTTCCATTGTCGGGAGATATCGATTTATTTTGTTGGCGGTAGATTAACCTAGACACACCTAACACATTTTTAGTGTTTACAATATCGGGCTGCATAAGAAGCCTCGTTTTTGCCTCTTCCCTAGACGGCATATCCATCCTGTTGGAGTGGCATTCTTATTAAATTCGTTGGAGACTTCATTTTTACCTTGCTCGTCGTGAACACTACCTCAATCAAAAACATTGGTAAAGTGTGTATCTATGTACCAGCACTGCGACGGTGAGGTTTACAACTGGATTATGTTAAGATTGCGATGATCGCTACGGGATATGTAGGTGGTTCGTCCTGTGCGATGATTGGCGTGGGACTTCATATACATATTTGACGAGTGGGCAGTATGTATGCTAGCGGAGCAGCAAGTAAATGGATCTATCATGCGCAAGTTGATTTAAGAATGCAATGTACCCTAGCTAACCCTAGTGACCCGTTTTTGGCGAATCACAGGCTGCATATGTAGAAGCTTGCGGATGAACAGAATTCGGCGAACTTATTGAGGTTTCAACCCTAAATTTTAGTATTGAAAATTTGTTTTCTACATAGTTGATTTGTCTGTGTTACTTCTTCTGTGTCAGTGTGACACTCATCCCGTTTTTACGCGTATGTATGTGAAGATGCATCTTGCGCATCCGGCTAACGCACGCAAAACCCCGCATCCCGAATTAGCAACAGTTAACGAACATCTTCAGAACCGGATGGATTGGTCACCGTGAGATGGTTACACCAACCGACCACACAACTATATCTGAGACAACACATAACCTCATCTCATGTTTAGTTCCACGTCCTCCACCGTGTCCCTCGTCGTCTCTGGCAACTTCACCAAACCTCAGGAAAGCCCTCGAAAAGACAAATATGGCTGACCCTCGCCCCTCACATGCCAGCTCAGGAACTATGCGTTCCCTCGCAATACCGGCTTATACGACGCCGAAAAATTATACGATCAACTCGATTCCTATGCCGACATTATCTTCGCCAACCGACGTCTTGATACGAGTAGCAGCTGCTTCGATCAATCCCGCTGATACTAAAGTTGCCGCTGGATTATTTTCTTTTATGCACACCGCGACATTCCCGTATGCGATTGGTCATGACTGCAGCGGTACGATAGCAGCAGTTGGTGACGAAGTGGTCAATTTCGTCACAGGGGACGAAGTATTTACCATGCTTCCTGTAACTCGTGGTGGTATGTTTTCCATGCAATTCAACCCCTGAAGATCTGGATAAACTTACAATCCGATCCCTCCACAGGTGCTGCATCAGAATACGCTGTCTCAGATGCTTCCCGACTAGTCAAAAAACCGCCATCCCTGTCTCATATTCAAGCCGCCGCTATCCCCATGGCAACCTTAACTTCAACTCAAGCTCTCGATCGCGGTAATGCACTGTTAGAGGGTGGACTTGAGGGGAAGACTATCTTTGTTCCCGCTGGCCTTTCTGGTACCGGATCTGCTGCTATTCTCTTGGCTCGAAATGTCTTTAAGGTTGGGAAGATTATAACGACAGTTTCTACTAATAAACTCCCACTTGTTTCTCAGTATCTTGGCGAAGGTACTGTGGACCAGGTGATTGATTATCAAGAGAAAGATGTCGTAAAAGAGGTTGGACATGGCGTGGTCGATTTTTATTACGATACTGCAGCAACCTGTATGGCGCACCTCGGAATAATGAAGAAGGGGGGAGCGGTGGTTAGTAGCACTAGTATGTGCAGAGGGGAAACAATGGATAAGCTTATGCCAGCACCGTGGTTGATTAAAAAGTTTCTTGATCTTGCCTACAGTTTTAATTCATGGAGGGTGGGCAGATGGGGGTGTAAGTGGGACGTTTTATTAACAGTGTTGGACACGGCGGATCTGGAGAGGATTGTACAGTGGACCGAGGAGGGGAAATATATGCCAGTTGTGGGGAAGACTGTGAAATTGAGCAACGGAGATGAGGTTCGGATGGCGTGCGATGCTGTTTACCATGGGAAAGGAGGACTAGGGAAATTTGTGATTGAGATCGATTGACAACACGGCACAGGCGCTTGAGGGGTTTTGGATTGATGCGAGTAGTACCATTGGATTTTTGGCGAAATGGGCTTGATTTAGTGCGGATAATGACACCATCTAATTATTCATTTTTCAACACATTCATGATTATTTGAGCTGTTCCATGACCACAAGCTTTAGCTGTCCATTGCGAACAATTTTAGACGCCGTAAACAAATATTCTATGCTTTGTAAAAGCAAACGTTTTCATCAGACATCAAGTCGGCATAGTATAGTGGTGAGTACAGCTCGTTGTGGTTCACAATTCCGAGCAGACCCATGTTCGATTCATGGTGCCGACAATTGATTTGTATTTTTGGATTAATTTAGGTTCTGGAGATTCTTTTTGTTGGATGGTTATGGTAGCGAAATTCTCATACTCGTGCCAAGGGGGTGTTCAAGGTAAGTACGAGTCGTTCCGGCAACGAGAAGCACGAGTGAGAATCGATGGAAGTAGGAACAAGTCATGAAGGCTTTTAGTTGACAATCAACTGTGGTGTTCAAGTAATTTTCAGTGAATTCATCAAAGAGAGAAAATTTTTGACTTTCAAGTTCACTTCAGGCTTATCAACCAACGAATGTAGCACACACTGAGGTCTGCTGATTGAGATGGCTTGTCATCTGTGAGGCCCCAATCCCGTAGCTTTGTTTTGTCACACAAAATGAATACCCGCCCCAGATTTGTAAACAAGATCATAAGCAGTAAATTGTGTGTTGAGGAGAAGATATTCCGTGAACTATGTATAAGTTGCAAAAAAGTGTGTCGGCACCATGAATCGAACATGGGTCTGCTCGGAATTGTGGAACCACAACGAGCTGTACTCACCACTATACTATGCCGACTTGATGATGTCATGGGTAAAATATTAAATTATATAAGTACAATATCATAAACTCAATTCACCACGCACAGCCAATATTGGGATACGTTGTACACATCAATTCTAATAACAGAGAAGTTGAATGATTATATATTGCCCTGTAAAATCCTAATAACATAATTTAAAATTGTCCAGCGAAACAAACGACATGAACAAAACCCAGAAATCACAAAGCAGGCCTCATGAACCAATGCTTTGACAACAATCAAAAAAGCAACCGCCATCCCCATAACAACCCCATTACCGTCATAAACAATCCCCGTGAAACTTTCTCTTTCTTTCCCAAAGATTTGCCATCCGAAATTCCAGTGGACTGGGGATTTGGCTTTACAGTCGCTCTAGCACTAAGGTTATCCAAAGTTTCTACCACATCACCCATTTGCAGCATCTTAGTCGTGAAAGTCAACTTAGTCCTGATCTCCGTAGTAGTTACAGTAGTATTGGCCCCTCTGATTGTGATAATTTCTGTTGGCCGATTCACAGATGTTAAGCCCATGATCGGGGTTATAATTGGCTGAGGAGTCGTAGTGGATGTATTTTGGCGAGATGATGAACCTTGTTGAGAGATCGTGGTTGGGGATAGAATCAGATAATAGGCGTTTTTAGATGATGTTATATCCGTTGTGGTCGGTGACATGGATTCGGCCACTTTTGTAGTGGGTTCTGGTACTGAGGAGGTGGAGACGATGTCATTTTCCATCGGCTGTTCGGTTGTCGTAACTGCCTGAATTTCAGTGGGAGTAATAGTTTGTTGACTGGTCTCGGTTCCGGTCTTGATCTTAGTCATATTGGATGTATGTACGACCGACTGTGTGATGCCAATTAAACCGTTATCAGGCGGGGTAGATGCTCCATTATCGCTTGAGGCTAATTGCATAGAACGGCTTGAGTAAAGCGAAGGAGCGATGGTGGTTGTTACTGTTGTCGACGAGGCTTTAGTTCTTGTCACCGTTTGAGTTTTTGTCGATGTTGGTTGCTCAGAAACATTTGGGTACGATGACGGCGTGGTAGTGATTGTCACTTTTGTCGGAAAACCGTCGGTTCTTGTTGCCGTTCCAGAGATAGCCAAGGTGGATTTTTTATAAGAACGTGTCGATACCGAAGGGGTAATAGTGATCGTTACAGTCTTTGAGGTGACACCGGGTCTTGTAACGGTTTGGACCGTTGTAGATGTCAGGGTTGTAATATCTGATACAAGGATTCCGGTTTCCATCGCAGTGGTATTAATGCCGCTGTTGTCATCCAAGTGACGGCTGGTCTTTGCCTTACATGAGCCGCCTTGCTGACTGGTGAGACCTTGCATTGAAGAAACCATGATTTTGGTGGTTGGCGTAACATATAATCCCTTGCTAGAGGTCTTTCCAGGCGTGCTAGTTGTTATTTCGTTGCTCTGGGATGGTTCTGAAACAGCCTCTTTAGTACTGCTCGATCTAACAGGCGATTGAGGTTTCGGCTTAATAGTGGTAACTGGTCCCTCACTCGCACTTGAAATAACCGATAATCCATCGGTAGAATCTTTTGCTCCGGTAGTCTTCGCTTTGCTAGTGGCTGTAGCCGAAGGAGCTTCAGTGATGATCGGAATAAATACAGGTCCTTCGGTGGTTTCAGTATCTGTAATGACAGTAATAGTAATGCGCGGTCGATTCGACGAGGTAGAAGTTTTAGCTTTGCATGATCTTCCTTTAGTAGTCATAGCCGTTTCTGTAGATACAATAGTCGGTAATGGCAGCATACCAATAGAATTACACTTTGAGGAAGTAGTGGTCGCAGGTACAGTGACGTTTATCACAATGACCTTGGTTTCAGTTATATATTTTGTCCTTAGGCGACGTGAATATAGCGTTGGACTAGCTTTATCAAAAGGCGTTGGTAAGATTGCTGGTTTAATATCTCCCCTCTTTGGTAAAACGAATTTGGGGGCCTTGGTCGCAACGGCGGTGTTGGCGGCGGCTAGGTTTCCGGCATTCAGTCTTCCTGTGGGGGTCGATATCTGCCCTGTTGTAAAGATGTGCCTGGGAATTTCAGCTTCTTGCTCCGACTTCATATCGTACTTCACAACGATATCGGAATCCTCGGGTGGTGTATTGTCGTCTTCGGTCGTGCCCTTTTCGTTATCTCGTGGTATCAAGTTTGACATATCCTGAACGTCCGAGAATGTCGATGAGGCGGTAGACTGCTGTCGATCTATGACCACATAGGGGGAAATATCCGAGGGCCATCTCTGAAATGTTTGTATCGGCACTGAAATAGCCTTTGTAGCAATCAAGTACTATATAGAATGTTAATGAGGCATCTCTGTAGACATTTATGAAGCTGAATTTACCTCTGATATCTTTTCTGCCCCAATACTGGATGCTTCCGCAAGTTGTTGAGTCTCTCCATAATATTCAGGAAGTCCGTTCGTAGAAGCACAGTATCCTCCCAAAGCGATAGTCAAAGAAAAGGTAAGGTAGCAAAACAAAAACCTCTGCTGCATCGTAACGTAGTTAATATCGAATAACGTTTATCAAGGAAGAAGCACAGCTGCACAGGAGTTGTTGGTTAGTCTTCAATGGGGGAGGATTATATGAAGAAGTCAACTTGAGCTCTGAAATAGTATAAGACCGTATCAACATGCCTCTTGATATTGAATGGTTCGCATGGGTCGAATAGTTTGAATATTCTCATCTTTTAGCCCCATGGGCGTGAATGCCTGCGATATAGAATCGCAGAGTTCAATGCTAGATTTTTTTTCATCTCTGTTTCAGTATATTCATACGTTATATACTATGGTCTACAAAACATAGGATATTGAGCGGTGGTTAACCAAAGCATTGCACGGGATTCAATGAAAGCGAAGGTGGTGTCACGTGAATGACCGAAGCGTACAGCGGTTTGTGACTGGCCGATAACCCTCGAAACCAGGTCCAACCCAATTCTTAAGTAAGAATATACCGTGCATCCGTTTCTTTATTTATAAAGATTATTTGCCTAATCATGTATAACAATATCAGAGACATCATTTTACGCTACACTACAAGTCTATATTTTATAAACCAACCTACTGTTTTATCCATGGCAACCTGGCCGAGTGGTCTAAGGCGCTAGCTTCAGGTGCTAGTCTGTAACAGGGCGCGAGTTCGAATCTCGCGGTTGTCAATATTTCTTTTTATTTTTTTTTGCACACTTTCTTTCCCCACCCAAATCTTGGTTTATACCCCTAGCTAAACCCTCAAAGAAGAACTATATATATCGACCATGGTCCATGGCCAACCTTCAAAGGACTAATATGTATATGAGATGAGATATTTTTCGGATCCTCACATCTCCAAATCTAACCCCCGAGTGATGCTGATATTGTGTTGAAAAATTAGAAACATAAACATAACCACCCCCTCCCCCCCCCCGAAACTGCTCTCACATTTGGGACACCCAGGGTGAAAGGATGATGCTTAGCTGCTTAGCTTAATAATATCTTTACCTTACAAAACCGAAGGCCGTCTTGATGATTGATGATTTTATTTTCTATTTTGTTATTTGATTTTATTATTTGCAGTTTTATTTTTTTATTATTTGCAGTTTTATTTTTTTATTTTCTATTGGCAGTTTGATTTCTATTTCCTATTTTTTATTAGCGGTTTGCTTTTTATTTCCGGTTTTTTATTTATTATTTGTTACATCTGTTTCTTGAAATTAAGCAGTGTCTTGGGATTACAGTGACTGATGTGATTAATGTGATGACTGTAAGCACTGTAATCACTGTAATCACTGTAATCACTGTAATCACTGTAATCACTGCAACTTGAGTTCTCTAGCTTCTAAGTTTCCTAGCTTACAAGCTTCCAAGTATCACTACAAGTTTACAACTACAACAACTACAACAACTACAACAACTACAACAACTACAACAACTACAACAACTACAACAACTACAACAACTACAACAACTACAACAACTACAACAACTACAACAACTACAACAACTACAACAACTACAACAACTACAACAACGACCCAACCCCAAAGCATCACCAACAACTCAACAATAACCCAACCCAATAACCCAACCCAACCCAACCCCAACCCCAACACAACCACAAAGCATCACTAACCCAACCACAATAACCCAACAACCCGGACCAAAGCATCACTAACCCAACCCGAAAGCATCACTAACTATAATCACACTGTATAACCAAATCGCACTGTATAACCAAACCAAATCAAATCAAACCGAATCAAATCTAAAAAATGAATCACACCAAATCGAACCAAATGGAATCAAATCAAAATCGAAAAAATGCCGGATAATAGATACCAGATAACAGAATCCAGATAATAGAAGCCAGGTGAATGAACAAGTATAGTTGAAAATGTTGAAAATATTGCAAGCCTGAAAGCCCGAACAGCCTGAACAGCCTGAAGAAATATAGTTGAAAGCC